GGGAATTTAGTGTAAGGAGCTGGAGAACGAACTGCCGGCTGTGCAGCGAGTGGGCGGAGCTCGTTACTCTGACATAGCAAAAAGCTGCTCGTTAAGGAACTATAATTTGGTGAAGGAACTGCGAACATTAAAACATATTAAACGCCGCGTTCACGGCCCAGTTTATTAATTTATTACTGTATTTATTTAACTGTTGTATAAAAGCAGTAGAACACTCGAGGAGTGTTTTATCGCGAACTGTGATGATCTACGGCGACCGAATCACAGCCGTGATGTTATTTCGCGATAACACGCTCCCTCTGTGTTCTAATGCTTAAATATCTCAGAGCTCTGTAAAAAGCGAAAGCATCGAACTGTCTGAATAAAACATGGGGCATCCACAGAGGCAGATGATGTAGCCTGAACCCAGCGCAAGAAAGCAGCAGCTCAAAAGCTACTGAAGTACCGAGTAACTTTAAGAGCTGCAGTTCTGAACTTGTTAGACCATCCAGCATCTATCAGCAGAGGAAATAAGAGGCTGAACCGGCTTCTTATTTGAATTATGGTGCAGCTTTAAGGTGGGATGGAAAACAGCTGCATCATTTAAGGTGGAATGGAAAATTCAAATAAGAAGCTGGCCAGAAGAAGCCATACAGGAACAGAACTTTAATTTCTATTACCTTTTTGGATCTATTTGGAGCTGAACCAACATCAAAAAATGATATTAAACCCAAAAAGCAATTATGGACTAACTGTAATAGAGCTGAGTAAAAAGTAGACACGCACTTCATTAATATACTGGAGTAAAATCCATCAAAATGCTACCTAAACACACAGAACTGAACAGTTTAGTGAAGGAAAAATGAGCGGTAGAGCAGTGACGGGTTGAGAGATGGTGCTCAGAGGCACAAGAACGATGGAGGTGAACGTGAGGAGACGAAGGGGGGATGGAGGAGGCGACACTGTGGATTTTGAGACACCGTCCAGTTGTCTTACCTCGGATTGGCGTACCCCCTAGGCCATGTAAACGGAACGCAAAACAAGATCGGAGAGAAGCATTAGTAGAGAAAAGAGACAGACAGAAACAGGAGATTCAGAAAAGACAGAAAAGCTGAGAGTAAAGAAAATAATCTTAAAGACAGAGAGGAGCCGTGTGAGCGCAGCACTCCGGACGGGTTAGTAAACTGCAGGCTGTCTGGGATAAAAATCTGGGCAAACTGAATGTTGAACATACAAATACAGTCAAAATATACAGCAGTACTAAAAAAGGATATACATACATGCATATTAGTGCAACAGAGAGTGACGGAAATATGAAATCAAAGCACTGTTTAAACCTGGCCCTACTCTGGCATCTCTGTTTGTTTTAAATTTGCACATAAAGGGACTTTTATTTTGTTTATTTCAAAAGGTCTAGATCAGTTTAGATTCTGCAACTGAAAATTAGCCAACTGGACACTATTTTTTTCAAACAGACAGACAGAAAGACAGATATTACCCTTTTGATTAATGTGCCTTGATAAATATAATAAGGTAAGTACAATAAAATAAAACAGAAGGAAAAACAAATTAAAAATGAATAAAAAATAAAATAATTGTAATCTTTTTTAAAATTAGATAACTGGCTAACACCTGCACATTTATCTCTGTTGTCAGAATTAAACCTCGTCTCCAAAAAGGAAACTTTACAGGGGAAGGAAAAATGTTCTTAACTTTTAATGGAAGTAAATGGAGAAATAATTTTTTCCCAAGTAATTTTGGACCATTTCTGTTGGTCCATTTATCATAAAATTGTGACACAAGGTAAAGGGCAACTGCATTTTTCAAATTATGTCAAAAAATGAAAAACGTCAAAGACGGAGATACGAGGTTTTGTCCTGACAGCTATGATATATATATATATATCTCAGTTTTTGACACAATTTCAAAGTACCTGTTGTCCTACACATTGTAAGATCAAGTGACCCTTATTAGTCCCATAACGGGGAAATTCATCTCCGCATTTAACCCATCCGTGCAATGAAACACCACATACTCACTAGTGAGCACACACACACTAGGGGGCAGTGAGCACACTTGCCCGGAACGGTGGGCAGCCCTATCCGCAGCGCCTGGGTAGCAGTTGGTTGGGTTAGGTGCCTTGCTCTTGGCTCAGGGGATCGAACTGGCAACCTTCTGGTCACAAGGCTGGTCCCCTAATTTCAGCCCACGACTGTGTCAATTTCATGATGTTTGGACCAATAAAAATGACCTAAAATTACTAAAATTATCACTGACTTACATTAAACTAAAGTATGTTTCTTCCTTCTCCTGTAAAGCTACCATTTTGGAGATTTTTGCTCCAACAGCAGCGATACATATAAAGGATTAGCCAATGGGCTTACATTTGCATATTTATTAATATGCATTTTCCTTAATAAATAAACTACAATGCAATAAAATTATTAAAATATTATTAAGTATTTTAATGGCATTTTTTCATATTATTTAATAAATATTGTTACGTATTCGTATTTATTATTATTATTATTATTATTATTATTATTATCATCATCATCTCTGGAAACTCTGAAGGACAAAGCTGGCAAACAGCATGATCTCATCCACTGTGTCCTACATAACGAAACTGGTACAAACTTCTACTTTGTCATAATCGTGTGTTAAATTGCCGTAAGCGAGGCTCCGGCAGCTCTGCGCGCTGTTCTCCTCTGCTATCAGCACGGCCTTGAAAGAGAGGCACAGGTTCTCCTGAGTCCTGCCCTGAATAAACCCAGGTTAGAGAAGTGCTCCAACATCTAACGCAGTTCAACATCAGAGACGATCTATTACAAACAATGAAGTTCACCTTTAGTTTGACAGCACACCAAATACTATTCACGTCTGCCTGCGTTCCACGTTTGTCTCAAGAGCCAAGATGAGCTTTAACAAGGAAAAGGAAATCTTTCCAATCAGCAGCAAACTTCTCACAGGCTTGGGGAGGAGGAATCTCGGCCTCCTTATGTGAAGGGAGACCCTGCTCTGCTGTAGAGTCGTCCAGTAAATGAGGTGGATTTAGTGGAGAGGGACGAAGTTTAAGTCAGTCAAAAGCCACTAATCTGGCCCACCTCGGCTCGCGGCCATCCATCTGATTCTGGGTCAGCCGGAGCTATTCATCTATCAAGAGGGTCCAGGCCGTATATAGAGCGGGCGATCGATTCGCCCCGGGCTGCTTGGAAAACTCCTTCAGAGGCGATTGCAATTATCCAGACTGTTTTCTTGTTTTTAGGAAGGTTTAAGCCTCATTTGACGCTAAGGGCACGTCAATGATGTTCTCCAAACCGCAGCCAGACGCTGCGAACAGGTATGCAGGCTGACAGCGCAGTTATCGCCATGGCAACAAAAGCAAAGTTTCTGTCTTGTTGAAACTTCCGTGTTTGGGAAACTGATTAGCGACATTATCACTGTTTTACCATAGATGCACTATTTCCATAGACTTTATTCATTTATTTATCTTATTTATTTATCTATAACAGTAAATCATATTATTCTGTTGTTTTTTTCCCTTTAATTATCTGACAACCTTAAAAACAGTTCAGTGAAGGTTCTTCAGTAAAAGCAATAGTTACATAAAGAATTTAAAGAACCATCTGAATACATGCGTATGATGTCAAACCTGTAGTATATGGTTCTTTAAAGATCCTTTGACACTAAAAAAGGTCATGAAATATATATGTTTTTTTGTTTTTATATAGAGGCATTTTGGCTAAAAGTGTAAGCCTCCATACATGCACACTAATACACATTATGGCATATATATATATATATATATATATATATATATATATATATATATATATATATATATATATAAACCATGCAGATAAATATTTAAGGGTCATAATCATCATGCAGATAAAGAACAACTGGTTGGAGTTCATACATGCACACTAATACACATTATGGTATATATATATATATATATATATATATATATATATTCATTCTAAACCATGCTGATAAATATTTAGGGGTCATAAGTCATAATCATCATGCAGATAAAGAATTTTCACTTGACTGGAAAGAACTACTGGAGTTCTAAATGATACGGCAAAACATTATTATTACTGTTTTTTATTTTACAGCTGTTTTACCCTAATTTTCATTACCTATCTGCTTCTTAGCACCAACATTTGTCTTGTGTTTTATTTTTTTAATTAGAAAAATTAGTTTGTATTACTTTTAATTGTGCTGTTAAATTGTTTTCCTTGTAAAACCTTTTGAAAAGGAACCAAATATTTTGTGGCACAAAACGTAATAATACAAAGAAAAACCTTAATGGTTTTCAACATGCTACTGTATAATTAGTCTGACAAGTGTAGAGATTATGAAAAGAAAAACAGGGGGAAAAAAACATTATTTACATATTTATCTTCAAGTCTTATTACAGTGATGAGAATCTGGCCACTTAAACTGGAAAATGGTAGTAAAAATCGCTTCATAATTCAGGTTACTATTCAACCAGGCATCGCTGTTTGTATATTGTTTGTATTGGCGTGTGTAGAAGAGAAGATATTTTATTATGGTCTATTATGAGTTATCTTCTGTCACTTAAAACAAAGAGAAAAAAGTGAAGACTCAGAATGTGAATCAAATGAAAATGTAATTCACAGCATAACAAAGACATGAATTATGTATTTATGTTATTAGACTTCAGCAAAATGACCTGAGACGATAATCACCCATGACTTCTAAGGGTTAAAGAGCCACTGAATGGTTTTCGCTGTGAGGGAATATCATATTAAGCTAAATTGAATGCAATAAAGAGCTAAATAACATACATAAACATAGGAGGTGGGAAATCGAAGGGCGTTTATAGACGCTATTTGCGAAAACAGCTAAAGTGGGATCTATATCTATGACAGCAGAGTGGAGGGTGTGATGGGTCTGTCAAAGTGCTGCTTGTCGCCAATAAAACGAGGCGCTGCATTTCCGCAGGGATGGAGGAGAGACGTTATGGCGTGTATTGAGAGTTTTATGGTCACCTGAGCGAAGCTGCTTGATTCGGCCGTTGCTGCTGTTGATGTCGACGGGCAGGAAGTCCTTGAACCAGGAGATTTCGGGGTCGGGGTGGCCGCCAGCGGCGCAGAGCATGGTGGCAGTGCGAGTCCGCTCCACGACTTTCAGCTGAGGACCCATATCGATGCTGGGAAAACCAGGAGGAATCTCGTTCTCTGAAATAGGAGAGAATAAAAGAGGCTCAGAGAGAGGAAGCTAGGACTGAACAACACGTTATGTGATAGTCGTTACTGTGATAGTAGCCCTTTAACCAAACATCAAATGTTCACATTCACATAATCCAACGGAAGTGAACTTTTGTAAAGCCACTGAATCTTTAATCACTGATTCTCCAGTGGTTTTGTAATAAATTATAAGGTGATTAAACGACTGTGAACAATTAAAATGAGCTTATCGCATTTTTTTGCCTAGATTGAACCCTAAAGTGAGGCCTGTTCGCTGTGAAAGGGACAGTGCATCGTGTTAAAGCCATATGAGTGGATAAAATAAGCTTTATCCTGGTAACGTCACTTCATCGTGTGAACCTGAACACAGAAAGTCCGTGATTTCCATAGAGTGACCATCCAGATGTCCAGTGAGATCAACAATATATTGTTATTATTAAATATTGTTGGAACAAAACCTGACATCCAAATTTCTGTTGGTTCATTCATCATGAAATTGAAACAAAATACAAAGAGTAACTCAAGTTTCAAATTCAAATTACTCAACAAAAACTAATTTGGAGATGCAAGGTTTTTGCATTATAGCGACAACGTCCATCCATCCATCCATCCATCCATCCATCATCCATCCATTGTTAAATTTAAAAAATGAGATGAGTTAATGGTGTAAAAAAATTGTGGCTTTAATAATTTATGTCTATTTAATGTAATTGCTACACCATGGGGTCTGAGAGTAACGCCATTTCAACACTCTGTATGTCCTGTAGATACTGTAGTATTGACAATAAAGCTGACTTGACTTGACTTATCACATTAATTAACAGCTCTAGTGGCAACAAAGGCTACGTTCACATTACAAGCCTCATTGCTCAAATCCGATTTTTTGCTCAAATCCAATCTCTCTGATGGTCACAGACTAACGAGCAGAACGAGCTTCGCTGAGAAGATAATTAACTCTGATCAGCTCTCAGCTTCATTATTAGAGCGAGACGAAGGTGAAAAAGGTGAGATGAGCTGCTTTTCCACCGTTTACAGGCTTTAACTTCTGTTCGGCGCTGCTGCCATGGTAACGCTGAACGATGGCGCAGTGGAGAAAAAGCAGATGAATTCCGATCTGAGCGTCACATTAAGGTCGCATGGCCACGAATTGGATACGTATCCGATCTAGGACCACATATGAAAGTGGCTCAGGCTGGATTCGAAAAGATCAGATGTGTGTCCACACAGCTCTGAAAAACTGAGTCACATTAGGGCAAAAAATCTGATTTGTGCCACTTCAGCCTGGTAATGTGAACGTAGCCAAAGTCACAATATGGTATTTTGTCCATATCAGGCATCATGATGCCACAAATACTAGCACCAAAATAAACCGACCGCTGTTCGTATACCTTCTTTCAATGTTTAAGGACATGTATGTATGTGGAACGTTATTTTTGTTCATCGAATTTCTCCACAGAAACTTCTGTAAATGAGATGTGCTAGAACGAAGAACCTTTTCAAACCTCCACATAGCGTAAAGGTTCCATACTGATTAACAGTTTTCCTAGAACTGTTTATCCAAGCCATGTAGCACCATTTTTACTGCCAGTATAACTGAAAATACTGCGTTTGAGTCTAAGTAAACATGAGCGTATGATAATGATATGTCTTATTAAGATGTAACAGAAGCAGCAGGTTGCCCTCCGCCTATACCTTTAACGCCGCGAGGAGAGCAGGCCGCTCTGGAACATGCAAAACAGCGCGATTGCATGTTCGCGTATGCAAACATACAAGAAAGGTCAACTACCTGCTCGAGTATTACAGCTATATTTTTATGTTGATCTGCTTCTCTGAGGACTTTCTGAATAACAATAAAACCACATCACCTCGAGCAGGAATAAATATCACTCGCGACTACGCTCCGCAGAACAGCCTGCACACGGAAAGAAACGGGCCGCAGAGGTTCACGAGTGTTTTTTTCCTTTGGTTGAGCTTCGTTCACTCAATGTGTGGAGACATGTCACATTTCAGGTTTATGGGTGTGCAAAGAAACTGTGGACAGAAGAAACAGAGAAGTGAGAAACATAGAGCTGAGTTTCAAACGATGGACTGATTCCTCATGAAACCTTCACTAACCCACTCGGACCACCCAGAACTGTGTATTTCCTACTGCAGTGCATGTGACTGGAATTGCAGCTGTTTATGGACGTATGTCTCATATTCTACTGCATAATGGGGTTTTGTAAGGTTGTTTATTGACTAATATCTACTATTCTAGTGTATTGGAGCGTTGTATTGGTTGAGGTTGTTTATGGATTAACATGTCCTACTGTATAGGACTGTTTATTGCGATTGTTTATGGACTAATATCTCCTTTTCTAACGTATTGGAGTGTTTCTGAGATTGTTTATGTACTAACATCTATTCCAACATATAGGAGTGTTTGTGTATTACTATATCCTTTTTAGTGTATAGAAGTATTTATTGAGGTTCTTTATGGACTAATAACTCCTATTCGTATATAGGAATGTTTTCTGAAGCTGTTTATTGGCTAATATCTCCTATTCTACTGTATAGCAATGTCTACTGAGGTTGTTTATGGACCAATATCTCCTATTCTAGTGTGTAAGAATGTTTATTAAAGCTGTTTACTGACTAATATCTGCTATTCCTCCGCATGAGTGTTCATAAACTAATATCTCCTATTCTATGTATAGGAGTATTTACTGAAGTTGTTGATGGACTAATATCTCCTATTCTACCGTACAAAAGTGTTTACTAAGGTTGTTATGGACTAATATCTCCTATCCCACTGTATGAGTGTTTATGCACTAATATCTCCTGTTATATGTATAGCAGTATTTTTTGAAGCTGTTTATGGACTAGTATCTCCTATTTTACCGTATAAGAGTGTTTACTAAGGTTGTTTATGGACTAATATCTCCTATCCCACTGTATGAGTGCTTATGCACTAATATCTCCTGTTATATGTATAGGAGTATTTACTGAAGTTGTTTATGGACTAATATCTCCTATTCTACCATACAAGAGTGTTTACTAAGGTTGTTATGGACTAATATCTCCTATCCCACTGTATGAGTGTTCATGCACTAATATCTCCTGTTATATGTATAGGAGTATTTTTTGAAGCAGTTTATGGACTAGTATCTCCTATTCTACTGTATAGAAATGTTCACTGAAGTTGTTTATTGACTAATCTCTCCTATTCCACTGTATGAGTGTTTATGCACTAATATCCCCTGTTCTATGTATAAGAGTATTTACTGAGGTTATTTATAGACTAATATCTCCCATTATAGCGTACACGCCTGTTTAATGTAGAACTGAAAGCTTTAACAGTATTCAAGGGCACACACTGCAGTTTATTTAAGCTTTGAGCAGTTCACTAAATCACACAACAACGGTTAATGCAGTCAAAATGCAGGCTGACGTCTGATGCTCCGCAAAGACACTCGGTGAGCCAAAGCCTGAGAAAAACACTCAGCTGCGGCTGATGCATAAAATACAGTATGTGAAGGTTAAGACAGATATGAGGTGGAAGCGTTCCATAAAAACGCTACAGGGCACAAGTACAAAAAGCTCTTTCTTCTGTCTAGGAAGTGCGGCATCACTCGCACCTTTCATTTTGCTATGCGTACAAAGAGAACTCAAGAAATTCACCTTTTCTTAGAGAACAGTTTCTTTACCCTGAGCTCAGTCAACCAGCCAGAGGTTTGCTTCTTTAGTGTTGCTATAGAGCTACAAGGCTAATGTACCTAACGAGTACCTGGCCAATTAGCACGCTCCAAGACCTGATTATGAGGTTTCTGACACCATATGACATCCTGTTATCTATAAACATAGACTAAAGCTGGGTTTCTCAACCTGCGGGCTGCGGACTACCAGTGGGCGGTGAAGCACCCTACAGTGGTCTGCAGGTCTGTATTTAGCAGGGAGTCAGTATGTATAGGAATGTTTACCGAAGTTGTTTATTGACTAATATCTCCTATTCCACTGTATACGAGTGTTCATCACGGTTGTTTATGGACTAATATCTCCTATTCTAGTGTAAAAGAGTGTGTTTGAGATTGTTTATGTACCAACATCTTCTATTCTAACATAAAGGAATGATTTCAAGGTTGTTTATGGACTAATATCTCCTATTCCAGCTTATAGTAATGTTCACTGAAGTTGTTTATTGACTAATGTCTCCTATTCTAGTATATAGCAATATTTACTGAAGTTTATTGGCTAATATCTCTTATTCCACTGTATACAAGTGTTTACTAGGGTTGTTTATGGATTAATATCTTCTATTCTAATATAAAAGTGTTTATGTACTACTATATATAGGAATGATTTCAAGGTTGTTTATGGACTAATATCTCCTACTTTACTGTATAGAAGTGTTAACTAAGGTTGTTTATGGACTAATATCTCCTAATCTAGTGTCTAGGAGTGTTCACTGAAGTTGTTTATTGACTAATATCTCTTATTCCACTGAATATAAGTGTTAACTAAGGTTGTTTATGGACTAATATCTCCTCATATAGTGTCTAGGAATGATCACTGAAGTTGTTTATTGACTAATATCTCCTACTTTGATGTATATAAGTGTTAACTAAGGTTGTTTATGGACTAATATCTCCTAATCTAGTGTCTAGGAATGTTCGCTGAAGTTGTTTATTGACTAATATCTCTTATTCCACTGTATATAAGTGTTAACTAAGGTTGTTTATGGACTAATATCTCCTCATATAGTGTCTAGGAACGATCACTGAAGTTGTTTACTGACTAATATCTCCTACTTTACTGTATATAAGTGTTAACTAAGGTTATTTATGGACTAATATCTCCTAATTTAGTGTCTAGGAATGTTCACTGAAGTTGTTTATTGACTAATATCTCCTATTCCACTGTATACAAGTGTATCCTTAGGTTGTTTATGGACTAATATCTCCTAATCTAGTGTCTAGCAATGTTCACTGAAGTTGTTTTTTTGACTAATATCT